TTCCTTCCTTCCTTCCTTCCTTCCTTCCTTCCTTCCTTCCTTCCTTCCTTCCTTTCTTTCTCTTTTTTCTTTCTTCCCTCCCTCCCTTTCTTTTTCCCCTTCCTCCCTCTTTCTTTCTCGTTCTTTTTTTTCTTTTGCAGCACCTCCCCCCCCCCATGCCCCATTTTTGGCTTAGTGGGCCCAGGGGTGGGATTCAACCAGCATTACTACCAGTTCGGTAATTACGTTTTGTTACAAAACTGTTGTAAGTCAAGGATTACCTGTATTCAGACTTGTAACCAATTCTACATCAAATTCATTTACAGTCCAAGTATCTTATCAGTTACGTGCTACAGTAAAGGAAGCAGTTTTTGAAAAGCCATTAGCCCAACAAGATGCAAGATGCATGTTGACTACATATGTCTGATCAATACTTGTCAGTTTTCAGGGAGTAAACCTTAATGTAACATGCAAACAGAAATACCTTATTTCAATGCAGCAAATGTTTCATAGGTGAGAGCCAATGAGAGAAAAAGAAAGAAAGATAGGGGCTTAAGAGAATCTATAATAAATATTGAGTAGTCTTTTGTAATATCTTCTGAATAAAAGTCCTACACAACAGAAAACTGAGCTATGGTGCTGAAGTAAACTGTATTGCTTACTATACAATTTATTATTAATATGTCCAGCTATGTACATAAAATCATTAATATATCCTTGATAATTATCTAATAAATCAAATATACTCACATATTTGTTAACTGTAACAGTATTGAAATTAATTTTATCTTTTATGTGAAACCAACTACTTTTTTCTTTTTTTCTCTTTTCTATTACACTTATATTATACATGTTGTTCTAGATGATGAACTTCTGGGAAAAATGAACCCTTACTGTATAGAATTACAAAAGGCAATACAGTACCTTCTTATATTATGGAGAAGGAAGATCGAGGACATAGTCATTCATCTGATAATTACAATTAATAATTACAATTATTTTCCCATCCTGAGTCTGAACTGTTACTTCAATTGGATTATAAACACCATTTTTTACTCCTTGTCTGAAACGAAGAAAGAAATGCCATGCCAATAACTAAAATAAGAGCAAATATTTACCCCCTGTAAACAGCTATTTATTTAGCAAAAACATCCCTTTGTAACATCCCTTTGTAAGTGACTTAAAAAGCTACCCTTTTCAATCATTTTTAAAACTCAATACGCAAACAATGTCCAATTTTGGATAGTTAAGGCTGCATCCAGAAATAGCTATTTCAGCTGCTAAATGAAAACCTAATACTACATGTACACGAAAGAACAAAAGTAACAAAACATCTTTAATGCAGGTTTTTTTTTTAGAATTGCTCCTTGGAATTCTATAATAGTCCACTAAAACTCTAGCTTTTGCTCAAATGGAGATGAAATCAGCACTATCTTTGTGTGGATTTGGAACAGAGTTAGCCTACTAGATTCTCCCCAGACATCTTGTACTACAATTGCCAGAAGTTACAACATCAAGACCAACTGCAGGAATTCTGGAAGTTATACTCAAAATCAACCTGGCATTTTCTTCTAGAAGCTTGCAAAGATCACATACAACCCGACCAGGGGTGGGATTCAAAATTTTTAACAACCGGTTCTGTGGGCGTGGCTTAGGTGGTGGGCATGGTTTGATGGTCATGTGACTGGGTGCACATGGCTTGGTGGTCATGTTATTGGCTGGCATGCTTTCAAAATGAATTAAATAAAGTTTAGAACAGGGAAGATCCATGTACAGTTCTACCACTACCATTACTACTCTACCACAGATGGTCATCAGATAACAACTTCTTGACTCCACTGACTTTACAACAGTAGTTGTGCAGATAAAATTGGAGGCAGAAAATAATATGGATATCATCTGGAAATCTAGGAAGAATGTGGGATATAAACAAAGCAAGGCCTAGACTATTTTTCAAAATACAGGTATATGGCAATCACTAGGAATCCATGTCCAAGTTCAATTTCGATTTGTAAAAAGTTTTTCATTTTGATACCAATAGTCCTCAACTTACAAGCACAACCGAGCCCCCAAATTTATGTTCCTAAGTGAAACTTTTGTTAAATGAATTTTGTCCTATTTTATTACCTTTCTTGCCACAATTGTTAAATGAATCACTGCAGTTGTTAAGTCAGCAACACGGTTGTTAAGTGAATCTGGCTTCCCCATTGACTTTGCTTGTCAGGTCAGAAAGGGAATCACATGACCCTGAGACACTGCAACCGTCATAAATATTGCCAAGCATCTGAATTGTGATCAAGTGACCATGGGATGCTGCAACAGTCTTAAGTGTGAAAATTGTCATAAGCCAATTTTTCAATGGTGTTGTAACTTTAAATAGAATAGAATAGAATAGAATAGAATAGAATAGAATTCTTTATTGGCCAAGTGTGATTGGACACACAAGGAATTTGTCTTTGGTGCATATACTCTCAGGGTACATAAAGGAAAAAAATACATTCATCAAGAATCATAAGATACAACACTTAGCGATAGTCATAGGTTACTAATAAGCAATTAAATCATACTAGGAAACAAAATAATATAAATTGTAAAGATACAAACAACACAGTTATAGTCATAAGTGGGAAGAGATAGGCACTAGGAAATGTTATTATAATCTAGTAGTAGAGGAATATTAATAATACAGTCTTAGTAAATAAGTTGACAGTGTTGTGAGAATTAGTTGTTTAGCAGAGTGATGGCATTCGGGGTGTCCTGGTGTCTAGTTGTTCTGGTGTCAATTTTTTTCTGCAGTTCTAATTATCCATTGAAGTCTGTGTTTGTCTTGTTTGGTTGCAGAGACTGTTATTAGAGGTGCAGATGACAAGACTCAATAATTCCTCTGTAGAATTGAATCAGCAGCTCTTTGGGCAGTTTGAGCTTTCTGAAATGGTGAAGAAACAATATTCTTTGTTGTGCTTTTTTGATGACATGTTTTTATATTAGATGTCCATTTTAAGTCTTGAGATATGATAGAACTTAGAAACTTGAAGGTTTCTATTGTTGATACTGTGTTGTCTAGTATTGTAAGAGGTGGTTGTATAGGAAGGTTTCTCCTAAAATCTACCACCATTTCTATGGTTTTGAGTGTATTTAGTTCAAGACTGTTCAGGTAGCACCGCAAGGTTAGTTGTTCAACCTCCATTCTGTATGCAGATTCATTGTTGTATAGAATGAGACCAATCACTGCTGTATCATCTGAAAACTTCAGTACTTTAAGAGAGGGATCTTTTGAGATGCAGTCATTGGTATAGAGAGAGAAGTTGAGAGAGCTCACAGTCCTGGTGGACTTCACCTGCTGCTTCCTGTCTGTTAGGAAGATTATGATCCATTTACAAGTGTGGTCAGGTACAGCTAGCTGATTTAGTTTAGTTAGAAGGATATCTGGAATGATGGTATTGAATGCTGAGCTGAAGTCTGCAAAGAGGACCCTTGCATAGGTCTTTGGAGATTCAAGATGTTGTAGGATATAATGCAGAGCCATATTAACAGCATCATCTGTTGATCTGTTTGCTCGGTATGCAAACTGCATGGGATCTAACAGCGGATCCGTGATGGTTTTCAGGTGGGACAGCACAAGCCTTTCAAAGATTTTCATAACTACAGATGTCAGAGCAGCCGGTCTGAAATCATTCAGTTCCTTGATGGAAAGTTTATTTGGCACTGGGATGATAGTAGAGCATTTGAAGCAAGAAAGAACATAGCACATATCTAGTGATTTATTAAAGATGTGGGTGAAGATGAGGCCAGTTGATCAGCACAAGCGTTTAAGCAAGAAGGAGTTATCTTGTCTGGGCCTGGTGCTTTTCCTGGCTTTTGTCTGTGAAATAGAGACTAAATAGTCACTAAATGATCTAATAAGATGAGGACTATGGTACTGTACTGGGAACCTCTGTAATTAAAGGATTTTTTGTAGCTTGGACAAATGAGAAGTATACAACAAACACCCAGAATAAGATCTTAACAATGTAACTGTGCATACATTGATAGAGAAGGGACAAACTGTAACACACTTATCCAGAGAATATAAATCACTAGTGTTCATTTTCCATATTATTCCCCATACTTCTTCACCAGGGCTATAGACAATAGTAGCTGTACCTTCTTTCCACTGAAAACTTGGTTTCCTTTGACGAGAGCCAAAAGCAAGTTTATAATCCTGTGAATTAAAATAGGAAGGTCAGTAATCTCCAATTTTAAGTTTCTTGTTTCCTATAATATAGTGAATGAAACAACATTTAGAAAGACAAAAAAAAGTAGACTGGAAAAATGTTTCTTAGGACACATACCTGATTAAAATTCCATCTATCGAAAATTTTAATTGGAAATGAGATTAGGAAGAAAAAAAGGCACAATGAGCCACATTTCTGTAGTTGGAAATTGACTTGAAATCTGCATTTTGAATGCTTGCAACAACAAACAACTAATTGGGCAACTAACTGTAAAAATAATAATAGAAACAAACTCAACAGAGATAGAGGAGAATTACAATTTCAAGTATTAATTACTTACTAATATTGGTTTCTAAGAAAGGAGTCAAAGATAGTATAAACCAGTAGTTGTGCTATGGTAAGGAAAACCACAGAAGGGTTTCTTAACATTAATCTTTCCCACAATAAGATACTACCATAGGCAAAATAGAGGAAATGTTCACTTCCGCAGTTTTGCAGTTCCAAATCTCCACCTGGTCCAGTATGGTTGATAAAGGCTTCCATCTTTTGAAACTGAGCCCAAGAAAACATTATACATTTGTTCTATGCAAATTAATTAATCAAAGAAACATGGAATATCATAGAATTCTTACATTTGAACCTGCAAATAATACATCTATTTTCTCCACCATTCAATAGTTGTTTATAAAGCCTACAAACATTAATCTGAGAACTATGAGATATTGTCAGCCCTGTAAGTTAGATCAAATGTGGAAACCAAAGGCACCCAAGGAGGCATCACTTCAAGGTACTCCAGACACCTTGAAGCAATTCTTCCTTAACAGATGGATGACATCTATGACAGGAAACCAAGCATTTGCTCGCCCCATAACATCATTCAGGAAACAGAGAGGGAAATAGCTCTTGGCCTGGTTATTGTTTATAATTTTTGCTGGAACTGAAATTGTTTCTCAGGATGCATGCAATGGATAGTAATCAAAATCAGAGACTAACAATAATTTCTTACTAAAATAAAACTAAAGAAACTACGTAATGGTTTAATATATTTTATGAACTTTATGAAGGGCTGCAAAATATGACAATTTTCTCCCTAAATAAGATGTAAACATACAATTCCAAATAACTCCATTTATATCCTGACAACAAGATAGTTCTTCAAAAATAGCACAAATCTTTTTTTACTGAGGTATAACTATACTCATCCTAGGATACTTGGTCAGTTTATTATCTTGTGATTTCTACTGTAATGTTTCAAGGTGAAATTTAGCCCAACAAAGAATGGATTCTTTTTGGCTATGTATTTCTATATACCCAGCAACCAATTCACATAAAAGTGATAGTTCAGCTAGCTCAACTGGTAATATGACAAAAGTACATCCAGAAACATTCCTGCAGGCTGCACAACAAATACAATGTAAACAAGAGTTATCTAAAGGGCAGCAGAAAGGGAAGAGCTGTGCTCCTCTGGATGCTTCTAGCTGCAATTTCCAAGCCTAAAGGTGAGGAATTCTGAGGCTGTATTTCGGAAGCATCCAGAGGACCACAGGTTATCTTAAAAAATAGAATTGTATCTGACTTTCTTATTTGCACTTTGCTATCCTAAGCGAAAGTCAAATAATTGTGCAGACAAATTCAAATAAGTGCTTCCATGATATTTCTCTCAACTAATTTCAGGCCCCTGAATGAGACATATTTCAATGTAATATATCTCCCTTATTCTGGCACTGTCCAGGTGCAATCTTGGGCATGTAAAACCTATTAGGACTTGTTGCTCATTACCTGAGACAGGAGAGAAGCCACTTGACTGTTTGACCTTAAAAAGAAGCAACAGAGATAGGGCAGGGATTAGTAAAAGGGGTAACTCATTTGCTGCAAGTTTAGTGTTCTGTTGATGCTGGCTGGTGTTCTGTTGATAGCACAGAAAAGCAGAAAAGCCATTAATTCATTTAGCCACCTTTCCCTATATTTTCTCTGATCAGACTCAAGAAGATGAGAGATCAAGTTCTCAAAACATTCCTTCCTTTAAAAAAAAAAAGGAAAGGGAAGATCCGCAATGGATTAACCAATTCCTGATAACGAGAACTGAAATTAAGGTATCACTGTCATGTTTTATTTCTGGTCCTTGCAGATTCCAATATTAAGCACAGACTGGTCATTGATTTGGAGCAGAGGAAGTAATTCAACCTTAAGACACACCCACCCCATCTTCGTGTTTCCCGGTTCCTCACTTAACACATATATTCACTACACGTATTCCCTTAACACACGTATTCCTTAACACAAGTACTCCCTACTACTTGATCCAAAAAATCGCTAAATGGAAAGCCTCCTTTCTTTCGCCTCATCGGGGCTTCCTCTTCAGCACAAGCACCACTAACTACCCATGAGGTCCCCGAACAACCTTGAATTCCCATCATTCCTAGCTCCAGACTGCAACCACCCCTCTCCGTCCTCACCACTTCCTCATTCAATTGTGGACCGAAACATCTTACAACAATCATGACGACTCTGCCCATTGGCTAAGTGCACGATAATCCCTACTCTCTGCCACCTCTTATTGGTTCTAAAGAGCTGAAGCAACCTTTCTATGCTTATTACAATGAGAGAAAGGCCAGTGTCAGCACTTTAAAGCCCATTTTGTTCTTTGATGGCTTGGATTTATCCATGCTTATACATTAAATTGAATAAATATGCTTCTCTATTGCGCCCCCATCATCTCATCCAAAATGACTTCGCTTTTTATTTTTTTATTTTTATTTTTTTATTATTTATTTGATTTGTCAATCACTTACAAGACAATAGATATAAGTATAAACATAGTTAGGAATACATGAAATGGATACATATAAGAAAAATAAAAAGAAACAATAGGACAAGAATGGTAGGCATGTTGGTGCGCTTATGCACACCCCCTACAGACCTCTTAAGAAAGGGGTGAGGTCAATAGTAGACAGTCTAAGGTTAAAGTTTTTAGGATTTGGGGAAGAAACCACAGAGTCAGGTAGAGTATTCCAGATATTGACCACTCTTTTGCTGAAGTTGTATTTCCTGCAATCAAGTTTGGTGCGGTTAACCTTGAGTTTGTATCTATTGTGTGCTCTTGTATTGTTATGGTTGAAGCTGAAGTATTCATTGACAGGTAGGACATTGCAATGTATGATTTTATATACTATACTTAGATCAGACTGAAGGTGGCGTAGTTCTAGGTTTTCTAGGTCTAGAATTTCGAGTGGTGGCATAAGGTTTTCTGCAACAAGTAAAGGAGTGGAGAACTCTTCTTGTGAAATATTTCTGGACTTTCTCAACTGTGTTAATATCAGATACATAATGTGGATTCCAGACTGATGAGCTGTATTCAAGTATTGATCTAGCAAATGTTTTGTATGCTCTAGTTAGTAGTGTGATATTACCAGAGAAAAAGCTATATAGGATTAGGTTAACAACTCTTAATGCCTTTTTGGCTATGTAGTTACAGTGGCTCTAGCACTTAGATCATTAGAGATGAGTAGTCCAAGGTCCTTTACAGAGTTTGGATCATCAACAAGGTCTTGACTATTCAGCTTGTATTTTATTTTCTGTTGTTTTTTTTTTTTTTTGCCAATATGTAGGACAGAGCATTTATTTGTTGAGGTTTGAAGTTGTCATTTGTTTGACCATTCTGATACATAGTCGAGGTGTTTTTGAAGAGTAGCAGTATTTATTGTGGTGTTGAATAGCTTTACATCATGGGCAAAGAGAACGCAGTTGTTCTTAATATGATCACAGAGGTCATTTATGTAGAGTCTGAAGAGAGTTGGTCCTAGAATACTGCCTTGGGGGACACCACTGTTGACAGGTACAGAATTTGATAGGATGTTCCCAATTTTGACCATTTGTTGTCTGTTTGACAGGACTGCTTCTATCCAGTTATGTAGGTGTCCAGAGATACCATAAGATTTTAGTTTTAGTAGTAGTTTATTGTGTACCATTGAATCAAAGGCTTTACAGAAGTCTATGTAGATTGCGTCTATTGCTTTGCCCTGATCAAGTTGTGTAGTCCATATGTTTTTGCAGTGTAAGAGTTGCAGATTACAGGATAGTTTTTTTCTGAAATCAAATTGTTTATTGGAGAGTAGGTTGTTTGTCTCTAAGTGGAAGATAATAGATTGGTTAATAATTGATTTCATGACTTTACAGGTGACACAGCATAAAGAGATTGGTCTGTAATTTTGAACTAGGCTGGGGTCTCCCTTTTTGAAGATGGGGATGACCGTGACTTGTGACCATAGCTTTGGCAAGGAGCTGGTCCTAAAAGATTTTTCAAAGATTATGCTTAGAGGTTCGGCTATGGCAGTGGACAGCTTTTTTAAGAAGTAGGCACATATTCTGTCTGGTCCAATAGATAGAGATGGTTTTAGATTGTGTAGTGCTTTTTCAACATTGTCTTCTGTAAAATTGATATGTATTAGATAATTGTAGTTGTCTGTGGTTCGACTAGGAAATACTGGGCATGATCCATTGCTGTTTACAAATACTGAGCCAAAGAATGTATTAAAGAGGTTGGCTTTAATGGTGTTGTCTTTGCAGTCTTTACCATTAGGTCCTTTCAGGGGTGGGATGGACCTTGAGTCTTTTAGTTTGTTGTTTACAAAATTGTAGAAAGCACGGCTGAAATTGGTGCGTCAAAGGTTTTCCTCTTGTTTAATGTGATAATTGGTGCATTCAGTCTTTATCTGGTGGCATAAATTTTTGTATCGGCTTTTGAAGTTGGCAATGTGAGCAGATTTTTTTTCTGCCAAAGTGATCTCTTTTGGGATTGAAGCTTCCTTATTGTTATAGGTAATCTGTTTTTTCTGGTTTTTGGAGTTGTTATTGGTACATATAGTTTGATGACTCTTTTGACTTCAAGTAAAAATATGTTGTAATGGTCTTCAACAGTATAGCATCCAGTGAATAGAAATTGCCAATCGAGGGATGAGAGACAGTTGTCAATAACAGGGGTCCCCAACCACCAGTCCCCGGACGGTACCGGTCCGTGGAACATTTTCTACTGGGCCGCCGGTTTGCTGGGCGCCGCCATCTTGTTTTGATGAGAAAGTTTTTTTTAAAGACTCCAAGTTTTCTTCTTTCCTTTCTCCCAAAATGAAAATACGAAAAATGAACTGCATAAAGTTCTGCTATAGCAGGCATTCGTTCCCCCCAAAAGGAACTCACAAATTACAGAACAAAAAAAAAAAAGAGAGGTAGGACCAGGATATAGGCAGACGCAAAACTTGATATGCAAAAAATAGCCAATCTGAGCAGTTAGCCCTGAGGGAAGTGTCCGGGGGGGCGGGGAATGGTAACAGCTGGCATGCATTTTTCAAAAGAACCACACAGGCTGCTGAGCCCTGGACAGAAAGAGTGAGCCGAGTAACATTTTGTTGCTTCCTGATTGACTAATTTCAAGCTCCCAGCTGCACTAATCGGGCAGGGCCGTGTCGCTCACATGACCTCCAGGCGCGAGATTAAATTCAAACGGCCGTGTAGGAGGATATCAGGGAGTCGGTTGCGCAGCTTCTGTGGGAGAATCTTTTCGTTGCAAGGCAAGTGGATGGGTAAGCGCTGTGAGGTGGGGGGGTGGGGTCAGATGGGGTACCGCTGTTAAAAAAAAAACTGAGCGAAAACAAATTTAATTTGGATTTAGTGGAAGGACAAGTTTTCCACTTTGTTGGATGGGTTCTAGTTGAACAAATGAAGCCGAAAAAGGGGGCTCTTGCTTTGGGATCGCTCGGCTCGCCTTGCCTTGTCATGTGTGCTGATGCCGGTACCGGGCCACGGATCATTTTGTGATGCCGGTACTGGGCCGTGGCACAAAAAAGGTTGGGGGCCACTGGTCTATAAGATCATAGTTGCTTTTTTTGAAGTTATTATTGGGGATCACGTCGTTGTGTTGATTTTTGTGTGGATGTATGTTGAGACAAAAGTCAATCACGTTGGAAAAGGGTTCTTTAATTTGTATTCCATAAATTGAATTTAAACTATTGCAAAAGATGAGATTGAGGCAGTTGTTAAGTCTAGTATTGTTGGTTACTAGTTGTTCCAGTCCCAGATCTGTTACAGCATTGTAGAAGTTTGCATGTATGGGTTCAGTTATACATTCATTTAGGGTCCAGTTAATATGTGGTAGATTGAAGTCACCAAGAAAGATACAAGTTTGTGGGCAGGATGATGCCCATGTTAGTAGTGAATTTAGCTTGTTTACATGTTTGATGTCACAATCAGGGGCTCTGTAACATAGTAAGAATGGAAATGTGATATTTAAGGACAGTTCACAGACAATGGTCTCAGGAAATGCAAGCTCCTGGGTAACTTGGATGTTTTTTAGATATAAGGACTTTTTACAGAAGATAGCAACACCATCTCCTCTACGGATTTCACGATCTGATCAGTAAACATGATAGTCTCTTACTGTGGTAATGGAGTCAGGGAAAGATGTGTTGAGCCATGTTTCACAGACAAATATAATGTTGAATTTAGCCATATTTAGTAAGAGGAGAAATTCAGGTATTTTATTCACAAGGCTTCTTGCATTGAGTAGCTTGCATTTAAGGCCAGTTGTAGTTGGAATTGAGGTAGTTAGGGGCATGTTTGCCTGGTTTTGAGTGATGGTAGGTTGGATGAGGTAGGGTTGAATGCGGAGTTGTGGGTTGTGTGACTTACTTTTGATACAATCAGCACGGTATGTACAGGTCAATGTACAGGTCATTCTCTCTATTGTCTAGATGTCTTTTGAGTTCAGTGTGGAGTTCATGGGAGCAGATTCTTTGCAGTATGCATAAGTCTGGTCTTGAGTGAAATTTTTGTGGTTGGGATTGGTTTTTGCAATGGCGTTTATTTTATGAATGAATATATTGTTTGCTGAACTCATTTTTGCATACAACTCTACAAAATTTTGGGCCCATCATTGTATTTGAACTCAGGGCTATCTCTGGTTATTTCAATGATATCATCAGGAGAGATGTTTGTTGTATTGGACTTGCTTATGATATTGCGAATTTTGGTGATGTCATCTGATTCGTTGGTGTCTTCAAGTCCAAATAAGATGGCATTTGGACGTTTCTGATCACATTCCATGATGTCTCTGATGAGCAAGGGGATATCATTTGTGGAATTATTTGATGGGATAGTAATTATTTGTGGTTCTGGTTTGGTGGTTATTTTTGGTTGTAGTTGTGATTGTAGTTGAGGTAGTAATTGTGGTAGTGGTTGTTGAGTTGGAATTTGATTTTGAGCTGATAAATAGTCACTTATCAGTGCTGTATTTTTTTTCAAGAGAGATTAGACTTTCTTGTATAATTGTTTGAAAACATGTCGCTAAACATTTTTCTATTGAGTGCATGAGTGATTCTATGCTATCAACTCTGTCAGGCAGGGTACTTGGTTTGTTTAGCTCAGGAAAACACGATGGACATAGACAAGGGAATGTATCTGATGCTTCTAGTATTCAAAATTTTTCCCTAACAATGACAATAAAATAATAGTCTTTTTGATAATTAGCAATACTCACTTAGACTTATATATCATTTCATAGTGCTTTACAGCCCTCTCCAAACTGTTTACAGCATCAACATATTGCTTCCAACAATCTGGCTCCTCATTTTACCAACCTCAGAAGGATGGAAGGCTGAGTCAACATTTAACCTGGTGAAATTCGAACTGCAAGCAGCCGGCAAGTAGCAGAAGTCTCATAGCTAAGATGCAACAGGAGATTGGTGAGTGGTGGGTACAAATCAAACTCCAAGCACGGAAGACCAGTTGAAGATGCCTTTCACAGATGGTCCACAAGGCTCAATGTTATCAAATTGGAAGCCCTGAGAGCTTTCCACAGGCAACAACCTTTGATGTAAAATTCCATGGTTACATTTCCAAGCTTTGCCAATAATACTAATCCTCTAATCAAGATAGTGTGCAGAAGAAAAAAAAAGATGACTGTTAGTAGTCAAACATACTCAAGGCAGTAAATATGTATTAATATGTCTTATTTATGGAGTAGTCAGACATACTCAAGGTTTAGTAAATATGTATTAATATGCCTTATTTGTGGAAATATAAGTTACCTAGAATCACTTTGGATAGTGGGAGGTATATAAATTTAATAAATACATTAGTTAAACCAAATCTCTCTTCACTTCATTTCAGAATGTTGGAATATTGCTCCCTGTCAGTCTATTTTATTTGAGGCAAGTGAGGCTCTTTCTTCTTTGCATGAAGCAACACCAACTAATGTCATCTGTTTCAGTATCTCCCTCTTCTAGTACATGGCTGTTGTGCCAGTCCTCTTCTCGGTACATTGTGATCCTCTCCATTAGGAGACTCCAGAGAAGTTCAACCCAGATCACTTTTTGGATGAAAAGGGCCAATTCAGGAAAAGAGATGCTTTCATGCCATTCTCAGCAGGTACAATCCTCTAAGACAAATAGTATGACAAATTTATATCCATGTTATTCCTTTATCAGGCACAATTCCAGCAGCTGTACTTCCTAAATAAGCTTTATTTTCTTGTTTACTATTGCAGGGAAGATGGCTTGTCCAGGAGAGGCCCTGGCTAGGATGGAGCTCTTCCTGTTCTTCAGCACCTTGCTCCAGAAGTTTACCTTCTATCTGTCAGATCAAAAGTAGCTTGCAGTACTGCATTCTAAGCACTGCACCACCATGACTCATTATTCCATATGACATGGCATTGAGACAAACATTCTGAAGCTATAGTATCTGCCATCATTTCAAAGTATATCCGGCTGCCTGTGAATAAGGACTATGAAATTCTGTCAGCCTGATATGTCAACAGAAGTCCTGTAGGAAGCTATGGAGTGCAACAACTAGGGAAAATTATATTGATTTTAACAGGGCTTGCTGTCAAGAAAACATTCTATCTTTGGAGGGTTTTTTAACCCTCTAGGTTTGGTAATATTTTAGACCAGGGATCACCAACCTTTTGGACCTCAGGGACCACCAAATTCATAATTTTAAATCCTGTGGACCAGAGGAAAATCCCCCAAAAAATCTGCAGGAAAATTCACAGAATACCGTCTCCAGCACTGTTCTTGGGGGGTGGGGGGCGGGGAGAGAGAGAGAGACAGAGACTTTTGGCTTTAAGCAAGGAAAGCAGCAGAAGCAGCAGAAGTCTTTCTTTCTCTCACGCAAACTCCACCAGAAATAAGTCTTTGTGAGATTTGTCACACTGGCACAGCTACTTGGAACAGGACACCTTGCAGGGTCCCAAAGACTCATTTCTAGTAGAGTTTCGGGGAGAGAAAGAAAGACCTTTGCTGCTTTCCTTGCATGCAGCCAAAAGCAGAAGAAGAAAGAATCAGAAAGAAGCAGCCTGGTAGACAGGACAGGCGTGGGGGGCAAGTTCCCCCCTCCACCCTTTATCCCCTCCCCTCACTACCTTGTGTTGTTTGCAATGCAAGGGATGGAAGCCTTGTGTTCCTGTGGGCCATGTGGGCAGCGCAGCTTTGTGTTCCTGCGCAGCCTGGATTAATAGCTTTGGTGGGTGCTTTGGGAGTGACATTTCTCTGTGGACCACCAAAATTTTCTCATGACTCCTGGCCCACTGGTTGGCAACCACTGTTTTAGACCATAGCAGATTTCCAGCTATGTAGAACTTACACATTGAATTCCTATGTTGTGCTAAGCTTTTCTTTTAAATTAATTTATTTATTAAAAATTTAAAAATAAAAATGAGAAACAAGTTCTCACATTTTACAGCATTGTCATAACAGTGAGCGTATCCTTTCGTGACAATTCAATTCATTTACTACAAATATATCTATCGCTTGCTTACTAAATCCTTACTTACTATATTATTAAATTACCATATTTATTTATTTACATTACTTTACATATATACATATTTACATACACATACATCATGTATCCTGTTTTTCTTTAGAGTTTCTTTGGTCATGTTCACTAAACATCTTTACTTCCTTTTTTTTAGCCAACTATACCATATATTCCATATTATAAAAAAAATCTCCTTCTTCCTTATTTTTTAATACCATAGTTAATCTGATCATTTCTGCACATTGATGTGTATGTCGCACCTGCATCTACAGGTGAGCATACGAAGTTCCAGAGTTCAAAATATTCAAACAAGAACAAAACCATTGATAGAAAAGGTCCCAAATTGTATAATATTGTTTATCTTCTTGCTCTCTAATTTCAAATGTCAATTTACTCATCTCAGCACATTCCAATATTTTCTTAATAACTTCCTCCTGCAATAGAATTTTCTAATTTTTTCAATTTTTTGCAAATACAATTCTAGCCGCAGTTAATACATTTACAATCAAGTATTTCAAATCTTTACTATAAACATCTGGTAAGATTCCCAATAAGAAAAGCTCCGGTTTCAAATCTATATGTCTCTTTGTCATTTTTTCCAACCACATGCGGATTTTAGTCCAGTATTTTCTAGCATCCTCACAAGTCCACCACATATGGTAATATGAACCAGGTATCTGATGACACTTCCAACATTTTTCCAATTTGTTCTTAAACATTCTTGCTATCCTTGTCGGGGGGAAATGCCACCTGTAAAACATCTTATACAAATTTTCTTTATAAGCTGTAGACATTGTCATTTTATAATTTTGCAACCATAATTTCTGCCATTTCTCTAAATCAATGCCATATCCAAAATTCCTCCCCCAAGCAATCATAGTTTCTTTGACTTGTTCTTCCTCTAGCTTAATTCCCAATAAGTAACCATATAGTTTTTTAATCATCTTTTCATCAGTACCTGTCAAAATCTTATCTAAATCAGTCTGTTTATCGTAAAATCCCTTTGTTTTGGAATCTTCATCATACCTTGAGTGTATTTGCGCATATGAAAACCAATTCATCTGTATACCTTGTTCCTCTAATTTTTGTATCGATTTAAGTTCACCCTTTTCATCTAGTAATTCCCCATATCTAACTGTTTGTTCCTTTTTATAGATTATAGGATAAGAAAAAGCTTCTATCGTCGATAACCAAACTGGGATTTTCAAATAACATTGTTTTTTTATCTTCTCCCAGTTTAACCACAAAGACTCCCGTATATAATGTCTTCTAAAATAGCCCTGTGTTTTAGTTCCCTTGTACCATAGAAAAGCATGCCAGCCCAGCAGCAAGTCATGACCTTCTAATGTCAACAATCTAGTCTTCCTTAATGTTATCCATTCTTTAAACCTCATCAAATTTGCAGCTTGATAGTACAACTCCCAATTAGGCAGGCCAAACCCTCCTCTAGTTCTAGCATCTTGCAAAAGCTTTAGCTTTATCCTCGCTTTCTTACCTTGCCATATATACTTCAACACAATTTTATTTAAGTCCTCAAAATAGTCTTTTCCAAGCCTAATTGGTATTGTTTGAAACAAAAATAAGATTCTGGGTAAAATATTCATCTTGATTGTTGAGATCCTCCCTATTAATGACAATTGTAAGTTTTCCCATTTCTTCAAATCTAGGGCTATCTGTTGTTTAAGTTTAATATAATTATTCTCTTTTAATGTACTACATCTTGATGTCAAATATATCCCCAAGTACTTAACCTTGTTTGTAACTTGGATTTTCAGCAAATCTGCCAATTCTTCTCTTTGTCTTAGTAACATATTCTTTGACAAAATATTTGTTTTATCTTTATTTATTTTCAGACCAGCCACCTCACCATATGTCTCTATCTTTTCCAGCAGCTTCAAGGCTGTTTCTATAGGGTCTTCTAAAATAAAGACTAAGTCATCTGCAAAGGCTTGTAATTTAAATTCTTCCTTTTTGATTTTCATTCCTTTTATAGTTTTATCTTCTCTGATATTTCTATTCAACACTTCCAAAGTCAATACAAATAGCAAGGGAGAAAGGGGACATCCTTGTCTTGTGCCTTTTCTTATATTAATAGAATCAGTAAATTCTCCCTCTATCATAACCTTTGCGGTTTGCTCATGATAAATTGCTTCTATTGCTTGGATAAATCTTCTAGCAAAGCCCATCTGTTCCAATAAAAGTAACATAAATCTCCAATTCACATTGTCAAATGCCTTTTGGGCATCTAAAAATATCAAAGCCAATTGCTTTTCAGGATGTGCCTCATAGTATTCCAAAGTGTCCAGAATTACTCTCATATTATCTTTAATTTGTCTCTTTGGCAGAAATCCATTTTGATCTGGATGAATAAAACTATTCAAATATTTTTTAAGTCTTTCTGCTAATATCGAAGCAAAAATTTTATAGTCTGCATTTAATAAAGAGATCGGTCTATAGTTCTTAATTTGCAGTGGATCAGCCTCATCTTTTGGAATAAGTGTAATATAGGCTTCTGACCATGTTTTAGGTATCATCTTCTTTAACATAGCTTCATTCATAACATCTAAAAGTGGAATGCTCAATGATTCTTGTAATGTTCTATAGAATTCTGCAGGCAGCCCATCTGGACCTGGTGCTTTCCCATTATTTTGTTTCTTTAGTGCTTGACTTAATTCCATTATTGTTATATTACTTTCTAACATTTCTTCAGTCTCTTTAGATATTTTAGGTAAGTTTGCATTCTGTAAGTACTGTTTAATTTTTCCCTCATCAATATTCTCCTTCTTATAAAGTTGTCCATAAAAATCTTGAATAATTTCCTTTTTTTCTTTATTACCATAACAGACTTGACCTTGGTCATCTATTAACTGGGATATAGTTGAAATACAAAAATAGAATATTTAGAATGTTAGGTAATAAGGAATATTATTGACTTTTCTTCTCCCTTTTCTTTTGCTACTTGACATTACATTTATAAAATGTTTTTTTTTCTTTTTTCTTAAGATAGAATAGGTATGATTATATGATTTGTTATAGAATAAATTACTTAAATCATAGTTATCTCATAAGGCATGATTGAATAAAAGTATAGTCAAATCTTTTTTTTTTTCAATAATGATATGTGGATATATAAGTTTGAATTGATAATAAGAGTTATTATGTAATGTAATTGTAATTGTGACTATGAAATGAATGCACAAAACTGATGAACCAACCGACACACTGTTTGTATATAAGTTTCGAAGAGAGCAGATGTTTTTATGTTTTTGTTTGTTTGTTTGTTAAAAAACCAATAAAATTGTTTTCAAAAAAAAAAAAACAGACTTTAAAGAGTTAATAGTACTATTTTCAGTCCTTAGCAGTCTTCCCGGAATCTATCTGGCAACGCAGAATTGCTCATAAATCACAACGGCCACTTCAAACATATTCTTTCGAATCCACAAAGCACTACTCGCGTTTCACTTTGCTCCAAGCAAAGATTGAGAGTCAGCACACCTCCTTAAATCCCCAGTATGGGCGTGTCAGTCTCTCTAATCAATGTCTGGCTTGACGCCTCCCTTCAGATTGTGATTGACATTTCAATCTTCTTCTAGTTCTAGCGTCAAGCCAACATCTGTCAGTTTCCTCCTCGCTAGAAACCCCTGACTCATTTTGTGGATCAGCTGCTGTCATGTACGAAGTCGAAGGTTCTGGAGTGGATTGTCTCTCTGACAATCTCTCATCCTCCTGGCTCACATCTGTGTCCTCTGATAATTCAGACTCCACATTCACAGCAGGCTCAAACCTTCCATCTTCAGAGGCATCAGAGTCAAAACTCCCAGCAGGGTCAATCCTTCCAGTCACAACACTGATGGATTTTGTTAATTACTGCCAGATCTGTGGGTACCATAATCAATTTCCAATTTTGGGCAAAAGCAATTCTTCCAGCTGTTATAATGTGTAGTACTAGATGTTGGTACTTCTTGTCCCGTGTTGATTCTATCATTCCCAGCAGAAAAGTCTCTGGTTTAAACTTAGTCTTTTGCTTTATTAACTCTTCTAACCATGCTCGAATTTTGAGCCAATACGTTCACACTTGGGGACATGTCCACCACATGTGAAAATAAATTCCCTGGCTGTGGTTGCACTTCCAACACTTAGCTGACAAGTTA